TAAATGGGATTAGGTCAGGGGTTTCAAATAGAGTTAGAGCTAAAGAAGGAGTAGCAATAATGTTGAAGGATAAGCTATGGCAGGAAAAGAGGGACTATAAATGTATAAATTCAAGGATTATGTGGAGTAAAATAATAATTGTATGTGAAAACTGGGTTATAGTAAGCGTGTATGCACCTGGAGAAGAGAGAAGTGTAGAGGAGAGAGATTTTGGGAAATGTTGAGTGAATGCGTGGGGAGTTTTGAATCAAGTGTGTGTAATGGTGGTTGGGGATTTCAATGCTAAAGTGGGTAAAAATGTTATGGAGGTAGTAGTAGGTAAATTTGGGGTGCCAGGGGTAAATGTAAATGGGGAGCCTTTAATTGAGCTATGTGTAGAAAGAGATTTGGTAATAAGTAATACATATTTTATGAAAAAGTGGATAAATAAATATACAAGGTATGATGTAGCACGTAATGAAAGTAGTTTTAGATTATGTATTGGTGGATAAAAGGTTGATGGGTAGGCTCCAGGATGTACATGTTTATAGAGGGGCAACTGATATATCGGATCATTATTTAGTTGTAGCTACAGTTAGAGTAAGAGGTAGATGGGAAAAGAGGAAGGTGGCAACAAGTAAGAGGGAGGTAAAAGTGTATAAACTAAGGGAGGAGGAAGTTCGGGTGAGACATAAGCGACTATTGGCAGAAAGGTGGGCTAGTGCAAAGATGAGTAGTGGGGGGGGGGGAGTTGAAGAGGGTTGGAATAGTTTTAAAAATGCAGTATTAGAATGTGGGGCAGAAGTTTGTGGTTATGGAGGGTGGGGGCAGGAGGAAAGAGGAAATGGGTTGGTGGAATGATGAAGTAAAGGGTGTGATAAAAGAGAAAAAGGTAGCTTATGAGAGGTTTTTACAAAGCAGAAGTGTTATAAGAAGAGCAGAATATATGGAGAGTAAAAGAAAGGTAAAGAGTGGTGAGAGTGCAAAAGGAGAGCAGATGACAGAGTGGGAGAGGCACTGTCAAGAAATTTTAATGAAAATAAGAAAAAATATTGGAGTGAGTTAAACAAGTTAAGAAAGCCTAGGGAAAGTATGGATTTATCAGTTAAAAACAGTAGGGGAGTCAGTAGATGGGGAGAGGGAGTAATTAGGTAGATGGCGAGAATATTTTGAGGAACTTTTAAATGTTGAGGAAGAAAGGGAGGCGGTAATTTCATGCACTGGCCAGGGAGGTATACCATCTTTTAGGAGTGAAGAAGAGCAGAATGTAAGTGTGGGGGAGGTACGTGAGGCATTACGTAGAATGAAAGAGGGTAAAGCAGCTAGAACTGATGGGATCATGACAGAAATGTTAAAAGCAGGGGGGGATATAGTGTTGGAGTGGTTGGTACTCTTGTTTAATAAATGTATGAAAGAGGGGAAGGTACCTAGGGATTGGTGGAAAGCATGTATAGTTCCTTTATATAAAGGTAAGGGGGACAGAAGAGATTGTAAAAATTATAGAGGAATAAGTTTACTGAGTATACCAGGAAAAGTGTACGGTAGGGTTATAATTGAAAGAATTAGAGGCAAGACAGAATGTAGGATGGCGGATGAGCAAGGAGGTTTCAGAGTGGGTAGGGGATGTGTAGATCAAGTGTTTACATTGAAGCATATATGTGAACAGTATTTAGATAAAGGTAGGAAAGTTTTTATAGCATTTATGGATTTAGAAAAGGCATATGATAGAGTGGATAGAGGAGCAATGTGGCAGATGTTACAAGTATATGTATGGAATAGGTGTTAAGTTATTAAATGCTGTAAAGAGTTTTTATGAGGATAGTGAGGCTCAGGTTAGGGTGTGTAGAAGAGAGAGACTACTTCCCGGTAAAAGTAGGTCTTGGATAGGTATGTGTAATGTCACCATGGTTGTTTAATATATTTATAGATGAGGTTGTAAAAGAAGTAAATGCTAGGGTGTTCGGGAGAGGGGTGGGATTAAATTTTGGGGAATCAAATTCAAAATGGGAATTGACACAGTTACTTTTTGCTGATGATACTGTGCTTATGGGAGATTCTAAAGAAAAATTGCAAAGGTTAGTGGATGAGTTTGGGAATGTGTGTAAAGGTAGAAAGTTGAAAGTGAACATAGAAAAGAGTAAAATGATGAGGGTATCAAATGATTTAGATAAAGAAAAATTGGATATCAAATTTGGGAGGAGAAGTATGGAAGAAGTGAATGTTTTCAGATACTTGGGAGTTGACGTGTCGGCGGATGGATTTATGAAGGATGAGGTTAATCATAGAATTGATGAAGGAAAAAAGGCGAGTGGTGCGTTGAGGTATATGTGGAGTCAAAAAACGTTATCTATGGAGGCAAAGAAGGGAATGTATGAAAGTATAGTAGTACTAATACTCTTATATGGATGTGAAGCTTGGGTGGTAAATGCAGCAGCAAGGAGATGGTTGGAGGCAGTGGAGATGTCCTGTCTAAGGGCAATGTGTGGTGTAAATATTATGCAGAAAATTCGGAGTGTGGAAATTAGGAAAAGGTGTGGAGTTAATAAAAGTATTAGTCAGAGGGCAGAAGAGGGGGTTGTTGAGGTGGTTTGGTCATTTAGAGAGAATGGATCAAAGTAGAATGACATGGAAAGCATATAAATCTATAGGGGAAGGAAGGCGGGGTAGGGGTCGTCCTCGAAAGGGTTGGAGAGGGGGTAAAGGAGGTTTTGTGGGCAAGGGGCTTGGACTTCCAGCAAGCGTGCGTGAGCGTGTTAGATAGGAGTGAATGGAGACGAATGGTACTTGGGACCTGACGATCTGTTGGAGTGTGAGCAGGGTAATATTTAGTGAAGGGATTCAGGGAAACCGGTTATTTTCATATAGTCGGACTTGAGTCCTGGAAATGGGAAGTACAGTGCCTGCACTTTAAAGGAGGGGTTTGGGATATTGGCAGTTTGGAGGGATATGTTGTGTATCTTTATACGTATATGCTTCTAAACTGTTGTATCCTGAGCACCTCTGCAAAAACAGTGATAATGTGGGAGTGTGGTGAAAGTGTTGAATGATGATGAAAATATTTTTTCTTTTTTTGGGGGGGTCACCCTGCCTCGGTGGGAAACGGCTGACTTGTTGAAAAAAAAAATAATAATAATAATAATAAAAATTTACTTCCATAATTTACCCCTGGGTGACAAGGGCATATAAGAAGTAAAAAGTGATTTGTGGCAGAAGAGGCCTATTACAATCAATGGAGAGAAGTTCCTCATTTCACAACTCCTGTGCCCTCATGACACAGGTAAGGTGCAAGTATGCTACCACAGTGAGGCATGTTCAAATGCATATGATGCCTTGTTCAAACTATTGAAAGCTTGTAATCCTATACAAGTATTACCAAGTAAACAAGCAATTAATATACATTTAAAAGCCTAGCAGGGAAGCAGCTGGTAGCTATCACTGATTTTGAGGGGTGGGGGCTATTTTTTTTTTTTTCCTAATTACCCGAAGTAAATTTCCTCCAAGATATTAGCCAAAGAAGAAAAGCCTCTAAGCTACATTGTACAGCTTTTTAGCTTGTTTTGTCTAGTTCGAAATTTAACAATTTTTTTTTAAACACGTTGGTCGTCTCCCACCAAGGAAGGGTGACCCAAGAAAGAGAAAAACAATTTCATCATCATTCACACAATCACTGTCTTTGCAGACGTGCAGATACAACAGTTCAGATGTCACTCCAAACATCATATGATAGGTAAATACTTATTAACCTTTTCAGGGTTTCAGACGTACTAGTACGGCTTGCGCACCAGGGTTTTTGACTTACTAGCACGCCTAAATTCTAGCGCCCTGAAATCTAGTGAAAGCTGGTAGGCCTACATATGAAAGAAAGGGTCTATGTGGTCAGTGTGCGCAGTATAAAAAAATCCTGCAGCACACAGTGCACAATGAGAGAAAAAAAAAAAAAAAAAAAAAAAAAAAAAAAGGTGTTTTTGGATTAAAACAGCGACTTTGCACTGTATTTTCATATGGTATTTATTGTTGTATTCTAGTTTTCCTGGTCTCATTTTATAGAATGGAAGACATATTACAGAAATGGAGATGATTTTGACTGGTTTTATAATGAAAAGTACCTTGAAATTGAGCTCAAAGTAACAGAAATGTTTGATTTTTACCAAAGTTCAAAAGTAAACAAATCATGCTAAGTGTCCAATACACGTCAACTGGCGAGTCTAATATTCTTTCACAAGTGCGCTGATATTATTTATACTATTTCTACACTAATGCAGTAGTCTGCGTAACAGTAAATCTTCGGTTAGTGTGACTTTGTAAATGGTCTAAGTCGGACCGAAACGTCGTCGTAAGCTTCTCTCTTTTATGTGCGGGTTATTTGTGTATCGTTCCAGTCACGGTATTGTGCCTTTTTTTTGTTAGTAAATCTTCTATTTTTTGTGAGAATAAAATTCAAAGTGGAAAGCAAAAGAATGTAAGAGGGGCGTGGAGACATGACTAATGAACAGAGGAAATGTTATTTTAGTGCCAGGAATGTCTTGTTTATTCTGGACCCTACTTGGAAATTGGCATCTTTTGAAATGTGTGAAATTGGCAAAATTGCTAAATTCTGACCACTGTATTGGATAGTTGAAATTGATAAATGGGTAGTTTCTTGTTCTCATTCGATAGACAAAATGGAGTTCTAGGAAAATAGTTAAGATTTTTGTCAACTAGTACACTAGAATTGGCCAAAAATAGGGCTCAAAGTGGGCAAAATCGCCGATGCGTAAACATCGTCAAGACCACTAACTTCACGAGAGCATAATCCCGTAAATTTTCCATCAAATTTCATACTTTTGGTGTCATTATGATCGGGAAAAGATTCTCTATCTTTTCATAAGAAAAAATATATACATTTTTTTTGAAGTTTGGGCAACCCTGAGAACAAGTCTGGGAGAGGGCCTGAGGGCCTGGGGACCCTGGGGGACCCCGGGGACCAGCTAACAATTTTTTTTTTTTTTTAGTGTCTCTTAAAAGATAAATAGTACACATACCTTCCAGCTCCATCTTATATTGTTCAACTGCCCTTTCCAACTCCTTTATATAATCATCATTAGGTGTCAAAGAAGAAGTAGACAGAGATGACAATGAGTGAAGCTTGCTTTGGGATTTAATGGGATTCCCTTCACTCATTCCAAGAGCTGGTTTGGAAAATAAAGATGCATTACTATTATAGTATTTATGCTTCAACACATTGAAGTATACTAACCATGAAAACAGTAATTTAAATTGAAAACAATTGTACAGTAATCAACACAATGTTTATAAGACATCAATGTAATAAAAAAAAAAAAAAGGCAACAATATTTACAGGACATAAGTGAGCAATACATACATTAGGGATAAGCTGCTGTTCAACACATTATTAAACTTAGAGAAGGCATATTATTGCATGGGAAGGGAAGCAATGTGCTAAGAGTTGAAAATGCACGAAATAGATTGTAGGTAATTAACCCTTAAACTGTCCAAACAGACGTTCAAATTCGTAGTGCTACAAAAGTAGATCTACTTTTTTTTACATATTTTCAAATATAACAAAAAAAAAAAAATGTAGATAAAAGTTTTTTTTACACGTTTTCAAATGTAAAACAAAAAAGAAGATCTACATTTTTTTACATACTTTCAAATGTCGAAAAAACTTATATATACGTTTGGACCGTTTAAAGGTTAAAAGCTGCAATTCCCCCCCCCCCTTTTTACACAAATTTTACAGGCTAAGAGCTGTTATCCTAGCTCATTCCAAAGCCCAGCTCTATCTAAGGTATGCTAACATCCACTGGGATGAGGCCAGTTTCAGGCCAGAAATAGCTTGAAATAGAACTCAAAGTGGCAGGGATCTATGTTTGGTAATTTTCTTGTGGTAGGGAAGGACCCCACTAGCCCTGTAATAAAGGACCTGAGACTGCATAAGCTATTTTTTTTTTTTTTAATACACCAGCCATCTCCCACTAAAGCAGGGGGACCCAAAAAAGATACACTTTTACCATCATTCACACATAATTAGTCTTTGCAGAGGTGCCCAGATATGACAAGTTTAGATGTCACTCCAAACAGCCAATATCCCAAACCTCTCCTTAAAAGTGCAGGCATTGTACTTCCCACATCCAGAACTCAAGTCTGGCTAACCGGTTTCCCTGAATCCCTTCACAAAACATTACCCCACTCATGCTTGAACAGCTCATCAGGTCCCAAAAACCACTCATCTCCATTCACTCCTATGTAACATGCTCACATATGCCTGCTGCACATTCAGGACCCTTGGACACAAAGCCTCTTTTACTCCCATCTTTCCTAGGACAACCCCTACCCCTTCTCTCCTCCACTAAAGATTTATACACCCAAGTTATTCTATTTTGCTCCATCTTCTCTAAATGACCAAACCACCTCAATAACCCCTCTTCAGCCCTCTGAATAATATATACTTTTTAACTCCACACCTCCTCCTAATTTCCATACTATGAATCCTCTACATAATATTTACACCCTACACTGCCCTTAGACACGACATCTCCACTGCCTCCAGCCTCCTCCTCACTGCAGCATTCACAACCCATGATTCACACCCATATAAGTGTTGGCACCACTATACTTTCGTACATTCCCTTCTTTGCCTCCATAGACGACGTCGTCTCCACAGACACCTTGCTGCACCACTCGCCTTTTTTCCTTCAATTCTATGGTTAACCTTGTCCTTCAGAAGCCCATCTGCTGACAAATCTACTCCCAAATATCTGAACACATTCTTCATTACTCCGTCCCTCCAATGTGATATCTAATTTTTCTTTACCTCCTCCCTTCAATGTGATATCCAGTGTTTCTTTACCTAACTCGTTTGATACCCTCATCACCTTACTCTTATCTATGTTCACTCTCATCTACGTTTAGTGCATACTCTAAATCTTTTATATATTAAACTGCTTATATTCCATTTATGTGCATTGGTTTCTTACTCAGGATAATAAAATGTGTAGAATGTATATTAATTACTATACATAGCTGGAACAATTAACAGCCTACAGTTAAGAGAAGAAACCATAGAGGAAGTTTCAGTTCATCCTGACCAATATCAACTCAGGATACATTGAAAAGTAATCTGAAGTTTCTTCTCCAAACTGTGGGTTAATTTTGAAATATAATTATATTCATTTAACACTTAAAAACATCAATAAGTTTTGATTTTTAATTAAAAAACTGCATCAGTTACCTAATCAGTCAAGTCAAAAACAGTCAATTATGAAAGTTCAAATACAACTGTACCTTTAATATGGGGGCCTGTAAAAGGTGTTTTAAATGGATTTTCTTCACTTGTCTCCAATGCCTTTCTTGGTGTTGTACTTGGTGTACGTTGACTCCATTTGTTACCTCTCTCACTTCCCCAGAAATCCCTGTCATCATCTCCCAAAGAGGAGGTTGATGAAGTGAGAGAGCTGTCTAAGCTCTGAGGAAAGGATGAGATGACATTAAATTTCTAGATCAAAATTAAAAAACAATAATGAATCTTTTCATTTTCCCATTTCTTCACTGTAGTTATAAAAAAAGCACACGAAGTTATTTTATTGGAAAAGTTTCAGTCCTAGAACAATGGTCAGGTCAAATGTCCCAGAACCAAAATATTTCTTAATAAAATGACCTAGCATTTACATAGTGTCTTCCTTTAACCACCTGTCTGTATCACATACCATTTTCACCAAAGTCTGTGTTAAAAACATGGAAAAGGAGTAGAATGTGGGAATGACCAACTCACAAGTTTATAGCAACAATGATCAAAATTTAAAATATTTTGTCCGAGATCATTTATTCCTAGGATTACACAAGTGTGGAATGTGTTTGTACAGCATAATGACAGCAATGACAGCTGACCAAATGAAATCACTGGCACACAGAAGACTCCAACTTCATCCTATTCCCTATTTTTGTCTCAATAAAAAGGCTTTCAAATGAGATGATGATAGCAGCTCTTAGCTTGTTAATGAAGGTAGGAACCCTTAACCTAACCTTGTAAAACCATTATGAATAAAAAAACAAGGAGGAGAGAAAGAGGGGGTAATGAGCCTACAAAACCAGATTTAGTATTTATCACAAGTACATCTGACATCTATGCAATAGAATATGAGAACTCCCTGGGTGTTAGTTATCATTCAGTCCTAAATTTAAAGTACCTAGTGGAACTAATGGTAGACTGAAAAAGTGGATGGTGGAAAATATGAGAAGCTAGCCTTCAGAGGACTCTTTAATGGAATGAGAGTATTCCCGAGTGCAATGCAGTGGAGAGGAGAAGGTCAGTGGATGAGATGGAGTACCTAGCTGGAAAATGCAGGAAACTGAAAACCTTACCCAGATGACATGGAAACAGACAAGACAAAGACAGCCCTTGGTTCAACCTGATGCAGAAATGGAAGAAAAAAATAACATGAAAAACTACAGAAAGCTAAGGACACATGATAACAGATTGTGATGTAGTTCACTATGCTTGTGAGGTCTCTAAGGGAAACCTAATTAACCAGTAATTGGTCACACCTTGCCTTGGCAAATAGCTGTCTGACATGCCTTTTGGCTTATGTCTCAGGTCTTTTGTTCTTGACGGCGTCAGATCTCGGCGTCAGGTCAAAACACATGGTGCACACCTCATTGTGGGGGGTGCCTGAAGGACCATATAAGCTCAAGGAAATAGCTAGAGAGGTAGATTCAAGCAGAGCTGCTGCCGGTGTGCAGCGCTCTGAGCAGCAGATTCTGGCAGAGCTCTGGCCCGTGTGCAGAGCTCTGAGCAGCAGATTCTGGCAGAGCTGCTACTTGTGTGCAGAACTTTGGGAGAGGGCTGCTGGAGAGTGTCTGGAGGAGAAACTGTTGGAGACACTGGGCAGAGTACTGGCTGGAGCAGTGCTTGGCTGTGTAGGTCTTGGGACCTATGGCTAGAGTGTAACCGAGTTCCTGTGGTGAACTGTCCTCTGAACTATATTGTAAGTTATATACACTGTTTTGTCAGTTTATTTTATTCCTTGTCTCACTGCTTATGTGTACCATCCCCATTTACCTAAACCCAATAGTGTTCCCCTGTTCCCAAATATATTATTGTACAAGGACTTGATAATAAACTGTGTTTGAATAGAATAGTAATATTCACTGTCCCCTTCATTTATTCTTTTAGTCATTAATTTATTTCAAGTACAGAGAGGGTGAGTAGTGTGGTGGTTGTGATAATGAGAGGTGATGGTCTAGTCACCAGTGACCTCACATTACCTCCGCTCGTCGCTCGACTCGCCACTCCCTGCCTACTCCCTCCGATTACTACCTTATTTACCAATTATCTGTTCATTCCATTATTCCCCTACATGACAAGATCAGTCAGGCATGAATATGCTAGGGTGAAGAAAGAAGCTGAGCAACAATTTGAGCGACATAGCAGCAAGAGCCATGTTAAAAAAAAAAAAAAAAGCTTTCACAGCCACAGATGACAAAAAAAAACAGGATTTGACTGAAGAAATACAGCTCATAAAATATGATTTGTAAAGGTCAAATGATTTGAAGAGGTCTTCTCAGTGGAAACAGGGACAATACTAGAAAGCCTAAGGACAGAAGACACCAACAGGTACAGGTACTGTATGACATACCCACAAAACTTTTGATGGACCTAAATACGTCAAATGCAACGGTACCTGAGAAGGTGTCACCATATATTCTATGAAAGAAACCAGAGTGTCTGCATCACCAGATAGATCTACAGCAAGTCAATGGACACTTGATACATATCTGGAAGACAACAAATGTAGTCCCCCACACTTAAGAAACAGGAAGCATTGAACTACAAACCAATTACTGTGACATGAATACCGTGCAAGGTAATCAGGAAAGTGGTAGAATACTTGAAGAGAAGTGGTGTCAAAAACAATAACCAGCACAGGTTTAGAGATGACCAATTTTGTCTTATCAACCTGTTGCAGTTCTCTGATAGAAGAAAAGGATGGATAAAATGCATTTACTTAGACTGTAAAAATGTGACACTGTACCCAACAAGAGGATGAGACATAACTCAAGATTCAGGCAGGAATAACAGAACATACTCTAGCATATCAGAGTACTTCAGGGTATGGAAACAAGAGTGATTGCCAAGAAAAAAAAATCAGAATGTGGAAGCGTAACAAGTGGAGTTCCACAAGGATCTGTATTAGGGTTAGTATCGTTTCTGGTTTATACGAGACATTCCAGATGGCACTGAACTACGTGTCTCCATTCATTGATGATGTAAAACTAATTCAAATAAAAATAGATGAAGAAAGAGAAAGGCTCCAAATGGATCTGGACAACCTGCAAGACTGGTCAGAAAAGTGGTTGCCTGAATTCAACCCCAGCAAGTACAAAGTCATGAAAACTGGGGAAGGGACAACAAAACCAAACACAAGGTATAGACTTGGTGAACAGAGGCTGCAAACTTCACTAAAAGAGAAAGACCTATTAGTGACCATAGTGTAAATTATATCATCAGAAGCTCGCATCAACCAAATTATCTCTACAGTCACTGCTCATCTGACGAATCTTGGATAGCCTTCAGGAATTTCAAAGCTATTCCAGGCTTTAAATAACATTTGTCAGGCCCATCCTGGAGTATGCAGCACCAGTATAGAACCCACACTTGAAAAAAATCATGTTAAGAAACTGGAGGCTTGTTCTAGAGCTAAGGGGAATGAGCTATGCAGAGGCTAATTAAATTAAACAAGACTGGAGGACAGACGAACCAGGGGAGATATAACATTTAAAATCCTTGGAACTGATTGGGCAGACAAGAAGAAACAGGTACTCAAGGATGCAGCTGGAAGTTAAAGATGCCAATGAGCTCCAGGGATGTCAAGAAGTATTTCTTCAGTTTCAGAGAGATCAGAAAGTGGAATGATCTCAATGAAGAAGTGGCTCCATAAGTAGGGCCCATGAGGCTAGGAATGAATCTGGCAAGAAGCAAGTTGAGAAGTGGGCTAGGAGTTACAATTCAACCTCACCCACATACAGGCGAGTACAAGTTACACTGAGAGCCATACTTAGTTTATGCAGTCATTAAGATGAGGTATCATGGCTCCTCCCATTAATACATTTACTCAGAAAGACATTAAGAATTATTATTATTTTCTGTTCTGGCATACTAGCATACATTAAAAGAAATTACGTAAAAGAAATCTAATTACACACTGAGGAGCTAAGATTAGTGACTAATACAGTACCTGAGCTTGAGTCTTTTGTTCACCCAACTGGATTTGTAAACTTCTGTTCTCCTGCATCAGCTCATCCACTTTCTTCCGTAAGCTATTCACTTCCTCCCCTGGAGATAATGAGTGTGTTACCAAATATTCATGCAAATCAATAGTGGTTAACCCTTGATTTAACAGACTAATAAGGAGGAACAGATGTCTGGTAATGGTTACTGTGGTAGATAGGGATAAGATTGTAGGTAGTGATCATAACAATAACAGATAATTCTTTGACCAACTGGCCCAACAGATTTTGTCCCAAATTTCTGAAATATGTTAAATTACGCTCTGTTAAATTGACAGTTATTGTATATTCGAGAAAACAAAGTAGTGGGATCAAAATTATTCTATTTTCTTTTCTTTTTTAAACAACGGTTGTCTCCTACCAAGGCAGGATGACCCAAAAAAGAAAAACACTTTCACCATCATTCACACAATCAGTATTTGCAGAGGTGCCCAGATATGACAGTTTAGATGTCACTCCAGCCAATATCTCAAGCCCCTCCTTTGAAGTGCAGGCATTGTACTTCCCACCTCCAGGGCTTAAGTCCAGCTAACCGGTTTCCCTGTATCTTCTCACAAAATATTACCCTGCTCACACTCCATCAGCTCGTCAGGTCTGAAAAACCATTCGTCTCCATTCACTCCTATCTAACACGCTCACACATGCACCATTCTCTCTAAACGAGGAAACCACCTCAATAACCCCTCTTCAGCCCTCTGAATAATACTTTTGTAATTCCACACTTCCTCCTAATCTCCACTCTGAATTCTCTGCATAGTATTTACACCACACATTGCCCTTAGACATGACATCTCCACTGCCTCCAGCAGAATTCACAACCCATGCTTCACACCCATATAAGAGTATTGGTACTACTATACTCTTGTACACGAGGCCTGGTCACAGACCGGGCCATGGGGGCACTGACCCCAAAATCCCTCTCCAGGTACATATACATTCCCTTCTCTGCCTCCATGGATAACATTTTTGTCTCCACAGGCACCTCAATGCACCACTCACCTTTTTTTCATCAATTCTATGATTAACCTCATCCTTCATAAACCCATCTGCTGACAAATCTACTCGCAAATATCTGAACACATTCACTCCTTCCATATTCCCCCACCTCCAATGTCATATCCAATTTTTCTTTACCTAACTCGTTCAATACCCTCATCACTTTACTCATATCTAATCAAAATTATAGTACTTTATTACCATCCTGTTCATTTTCTCTCCACATTAGCTCATGCATATACAGTCACACATCAATATTCCAAAAATGCTGATACTACAAGCTTTCCAGTTAACTAATTTCTGTATTAAATATAGGTGACAGTAACACTGTGGGGCATAATTCTTCCCACCTAGTAATGAGGAATACCCACATGCATATAACTATATATTGTAACTACCAGTTAATGCTACTCTGGTGATCACACAAGACTGAACAGGCACCTAAGTTTTCAAGAGAATACAGAATAAGAATCAGGAAAGGGAGCTTCCTTTAGAATGGCATAAAGAGGAATCAAATTCATCACGTTTTGATTCATCACGAATTTTGCAAGTTTGTTTTATTTGCAGGGTATGAACTACAAATTCATCATTATGTCTTTCAGACTCAGTATAGTACCATGGGTCCTCACATGCACCTACCAACCACTCGTGTGTGGCCTCCATAGTCAGGGAATGCTTCTTCATCTACTTGAGTGACATTATCATTAATTGCTCAATATCACTTTCAAAGTCTATGAATCTTCATTTGGCACTTCAGTCATTACAGACTATGCATTCCTTGCAGCACACCTCTGACAAAACAGTGAAAGCACATGATGGGAAGAGTTTCCTCTTTTTCGGGTCACCCTACCTCAGTGGGAAAGGGCAAGCGTAAAAAAAAAGGGGGGGGGGGAGGCCTCTCCACTTCTTCAGACAAGCAGACTTTTCTCAGTTGGGTACAAGAGCTGAAGACATGGGAAGGAGTTCAACACATGGTGCTTATATTTTGTAGCTCAAAATATTGTACTCGGCTATCATTAGGTGATGAACCAGTCCTCCTTGGCTCTATATGAACACGGCCAAAGAGGCTCTCCTAGAGTATCTTGAATATGCTCTTCCAAAGTATCCCCAGGACCTATCCTTCCTTAAAATCCCCTCATGATGGACATCTTTTCCACAAACAATGAATTGTCAACCGACTAGTAAGAATGGGTTTCCTTTCCTTTTATCATTAACACTTGAGGAGGAGGTGGCGATGGTTTCATGCATTGCCCTCTTGGACAACTACTGCAGCCTCATTGACCAGTGATGTTTTCAATCTTGGTACCTATGGACCCAGAGCCAGCCTTAGCAAAGGAGGGACCCAATTGGGAACAATTTTGGTGGGCCCCATGTATGGAAAGCAATCAAACTGTGCGCTTAAAAAATGCATGCAAGTTAATATACCAAGCAGATGTAAGCTACATTTTAATATAAAACTGCATACATGCAAGCCTACAAGTAACAATCAAAATTTGTCAAAGTTTAAACTCCTGCTAATTTCAGATTCAATGGACATAATTGCCAAACTGTTCAAACATTCTTGCTGAATTGATGATCAGTTTCAGCTTGGAAAAACTCCTTTCTCCAGGTGCTCTTTGTTTTTTTTTTACTTCATGTTGTTGTGTGTACTTGATAAGCCAAGAGTAATTACACTTTAGCGCGGGGCCCAATTGAGAGCAATCGGTCCAATTGGCTTAAGGCCGGCCCTCTATGGGCCAAAGGACATGATACATTTCCAACAAAATTAATTTGTCCCTGACTTTGGAGAATCACCTATTCTGGTCCTGTCACATTTGACCTTTGCTGTTATGAGAAGCTAATCTCCAATCAGGGTCCAAAGTCTCCAGGGAATCTTGTGATGCCCTTCAACACCTGGGATGTCCTGCAACTTGGGAGTGCACTCTTATACCACAGCCCCAACTCTAGCTTGCTTTAGAATAGTGGGCAAACCTGCAAACTTATTCTTCACGGTATTAGCGTATCACACAAGCTTCTCGTATGGGAAAACTTTTACATTCATGATCTGGTGCCCCTCTTTCCGAGCATTACTAGAAACTGCTCTCAAAGGATCCTACCAGATCAGCATCAGGATATCTTCAGTCCAACCAATCTACTACCTGACTCCGTTGCCTTGAGAATTGGTAATCTCATTAATAAGAAGCTTTTTCACATTGCATACAACCAGTTCATTCTTTCAAGAAAAGAAAACCATACAATTTTAACCCTTTCAGGGTCCGTCCCGTAGATCTACGGCTTTACGTTCAGGGTCCAAACCGTAGATCTACGTCATGAGCTCAGCTCACTCTGATAAACTGTGAGTGGTAAATTTGGGCCTAGATATGAGAGAATACATCTATGTGGTATGTGTGCACCACATAAAACAAATCCTGCAGCACACTGTGTATAATGAGAAAAAAAACAGACCATGATTTTCGATTAAAACAGCGACTTTGCAGTGTCTTTTCGTATGTTTTTTATAGTTGTATTTGTGATTTCTTGGTCTCATTTGATAGAATGGAAGACATATTACAGAAATAGAGATAATTTTGATTGGTGTTAGCACTGGAAATGGCTTGAAATTGAGCTCAAAGTGGCGGAAATGTCAAATTTTTCCCGATGTTCAAGAGTAAACAAACGACCTCACACGTCTAATACACGCCAGCTGGTGGGTCTAATATACATTCACAAATGTGGTGATGATATTTATACAATTATTACAATATTGCATAACAGAAAATCTTCTATTTTTTGGTGTGAATAAAAATTCATTATGTGAATAAAAAATCAAAATGGAATTTATTTGTAAAGCCTCAAAACAACTAATGAACAGAGGAAATGTTAGTTTAGTGCCAGGAATACCTACATTTTTTATTCTGGACCCTATTTTGAAATTGGAATATTTTGAACTTTGTGTTAAATTGGCCAAATTACCAATTTCCGGTCACTTTATTTTGTAGTTGAAACAGTTGACTTGGCGATTTTCTTGTGCTCAATCGATAGAATAGAAGTAATACTAGTGAAATAGCTGAGAATTTGGTCGACTGGAATAATGTAATTGGCCTAAAATGGGAGTCAAAGTCGGCAAAATCGCCGATTCGTAAATATCGCTGACACATCAAAATTCACGAGAGCATAATTTCGTCAATTTTCCATCAAATTTCGTACTTTTTGTTTTATTACATTCACAAAAAGATTCTCTACCATTTCATAAGAAAAAATAACAATTTTTTTTTTTGAAAATTCTTGAACACTGGGGCACCACTTCAGATTTTGGCCTTGGACCCTGAAAGGGTTAAACATGAAAAATACGTACTATGTGAAAATAAAAAACTAATGAGTAATAAGCATATAAAGAAGCCTAGTGTACAAGCAATTTTACAATACCAAAAAAGTATATTTCTGATAAGTGCAAGTCTAGAGAAATGCAAGCTGAGAGAATTATAAAGCTCTACCAGCAATCAATATGGACTTGTCATAATAAAAAAATTAATTGCAAATTGTGAAGTTATGCCATTTTAAGCAAGTCATGCAAAAAATTCTGATAAATCTTTATCAAATTACTACTAAAAAAATCAACTAAAGCATAATCTACTTACAAAAGATGAGTCACAAAACACAACTACAGGTAATGAAGGAAGACAGTTTGCACATTTTTTTTTTTACTCAAATTGTTCAAAATAACTCTTTTGTAAATGATACTTAAACAATGCCTGGTCAATAAGGTATAGTAATTAGTATAGAAATTTTAAATCCTAACAAGTTCATATTGTCAAAAGAATGCACAACATGAAAACTAATGTAAAAAAGACTACAGTGGTACCTTGACATACAAGAGCCCCAACTTACGAGTTTTCCGAGTTACACGTAGTCGCTCGGTTGATTTTTTGCTTCAAGTTGCAAGCCAAAATCAGAGTTACGAGTGAGCTTCAGACATGCTGCCACTAGTTGGCAGTGTATCTGAAGTCAAATCCAACTCTATACCCAGAGGAATGTCAGGTACATCGTCCCATCCCACATGCTCTTCCAAGA